GCCAAAAAACATCATAGTATAGTAAGGCAAAAAATGTCAAAAAAACATCATAGTATAGTAAGGGATAAAAATGTCATGGTAAACTACGGCAAAAAAACAGAAAAAAAAACAGTATGGTAAGGCATGGAAACGTCACGGTATAGTAAGGCATAAAAACGTCATAGTATAGTACGGCAAAAAATGTAAAAAAAAAACATCACAGTATAGTAATGCAAAAAATATCATAAAAACGTCATAGTATAGCACGGCAAAAAATGTTAAAAAATGACATAGTATAGTAAGGGATAAAAACGTCACATTATAGTAAGGCCAAAGATGTCAACAAACATCACAGTGTAGTAAGGCAATAAAATGTCAAAAAACGTCATAGTATTGTAAGGCAAAATATGTAAAAAAAAACGTCATTGTATAGTAAGGCATAAAAACTTCAAAAACGTATATGGTATAGTAAGGCATGAAAAACGTCATAGTATAGTAGGGCAAAAAGTGTCAAAAAACGTAATAGTAAGGCAAAAAATGTCAAAAAATGTCATAGTATAGTAAGGCAAAAAATGTCATAGTATAGTAAGGCAAAAATGTCAAAAAATGTCATAGTATAGTAAGGCAAAAAATGTAAAAAAAAACGTCATAGTATAGTAAGGGATAAAAACGTCATGGTATTGTAAGGCCAAAGGTGTCAAAAAACATCACAGTATAGTACAGCAAAAAATGTAAAACAAAAGTCATAGTATAGTAAGGCAAAAAATGTAAAAAAAAAAACGTCATTGTATAGTAAGGCATAAAAACTTCAAAAACGTATATGGTATAGCAAGGCATGAAAAACATCATAGTTTCTTCAGGCATAAAAAACAACTTAGTATAGTAAGGCATAAAAACTTCAAAAACGTAGATGGTATAGCAAGGCATGAAAAATGTCATAGTATAGTAAGGCATAAAAACGTCATAGTATTGTAAGGCAAAATATGTAAAAAAAAACGTCATTGTATAGTAAGGCATAAGAACTTCAAAAACGTATATGGTATAGGAAGGCATGAAAAACGTCATAGTATAGTACGGCAAAAAATGTAAAAAAAAAACATCACAGTATAGTACAGCAAAAAATGTAAAACAAAAGTCATAGTATAGTAAGGCATAAAAACGTCATAGTATTGTAAGGCAAAATATGTAAAAAAAAACGTCATTGTATAGTAAGGCATAAGAACTTCAAAAACGTATATGGTATAGGAAGGCATGAAAAACGTCATAGTATAGTACGGCAAAAAATGTAAAAAAAAAACATCACAGTATAGTACAGCAAAAAATGTAAAACAAAAGTCATAGTATAGTAAGGCATAAAAACGTCATAGTATTGTAAGGCAAAATATGTAAAAAAAAACGTCATTGTATAGTAAGGCATAAGAACTTCAAAAACGTATATGGTATAGGAAGGCATGAAAAACGTCATAGTATAGTACGGCAAAAAATGTAAAAAAAAAACATCACAGTATAGTACAGCAAAAAATGTAAAACAAAAGTCATAGTATAGTAAGGCATAAAAACGTCATAGTATTGTAAGGCAAAATATGTAAAAAAAAACGTCATTGTATAGTAAGGCATAAGAACTTCAAAAACGTATATGGTATAGGAAGGCATGAAAAACGTCATAGTATAGTACGGCAAAAAATGTAAAAAAAAAACATCACAGTATAGTACAGCAAAAAATGTAAAACAAAAGTCATAGTATAGTAAGGCATAAAAACGTCATAGTATTGTAAGGCAAAATATGTAAAAAAAAACGTCATTGTATAGTAAGGCATAAGAACTTCAAAAACGTATATGGTATAGGAAGGCATGAAAAACGTCATAGTATAGTACGGCAAAAAATGTAAAAAAAAAACATCACAGTATAGTACAGCAAAAAATGTAAAACAAAAGTCATAGTATAGTAAGGCATAAAAACGTCATAGTATTGTAAGGCAAAATATGTAAAAAAAAACGTCATTGTATAGTAAGGCATAAGAACTTCAAAAACGTATATGGTATAGGAAGGCATGAAAAACGTCATAGTATAGTACGGCAAAAAATGTAAAAAAAAAACATCACAGTATAGTACAGCAAAAAATGTAAAACAAAAGTCATAGTATAGTAAGGCATAAAAACGTCATAGTATTGTAAGGCAAAATATGTAAAAAAAAACGTCATTGTATAGTAAGGCATAAGAACTTCAAAAACGTATATGGTATAGGAAGGCATGAAAAACGTCATAGTATAGTACGGCAAAAAATGTAAAAAAAAAACATCACAGTATAGTACAGCAAAAAATGTAAAACAAAAGTCATAGTATAGTAAGGCATAAAAACGTCATAGTATTGTAAGGCAAAATATGTAAAAAAAAACGTCATTGTATAGTAAGGCATAAGAACTTCAAAAACGTATATGGTATAGGAAGGCATGAAAAACGTCATAGTATAGTACGGCAAAAAATGTAAAAAAAAAACATCACAGTATAGTACAGCAAAAAATGTAAAACAAAAGTCATAGTATAGTAAGGCATAAAAACGTCATAGTATTGTAAGGCAAAATATGTAAAAAAAAACGTCATTGTATAGTAAGGCATAAGAACTTCAAAAACGTATATGGTATAGGAAGGCATGAAAAACGTCATAGTATAGTACGGCAAAAAATGTAAAAAAAAAACATCACAGTATAGTACAGCAAAAAATGTAAAACAAAAGTCGTAGTATAGTAAGGCAAAAAATGTTAAAAAATGTCATAGCATAATAAGGGATAAATACGTCAAAAAACGTCATAGTGTAGTAGGGCTTAAGAACCTCAAAAAACGTCATGTAAGTTACAAAAATGTCAAAAAACATAGTATAGTAAGGCATGAAAACGTCATAGTATAGTATAGCATAAAACCTCAAAAAAACATCATAGTTTCTTCAGGCATAAAAAGCCATAAAAACAACATAGTATGCTAAGGCATAGAACAACAGAGTATAGTAAGTCATAAAATTGACAAAAAATGTCATAGTATAGTATAGCATAAAAAGCCATAAAAACAACATAGTATGGTAAGGCATAAAAATGTCATAGTATAGTAAGGCAAAAAGTGTCAAAAAACGTCATAGTGAGGCAACAAATGTCAAAAAAACATCATAGTATAGTAAGGCATAAAAATGTCATAGTAACGTACTGCAAAATTTTTTAAAAAAATGTCATAGTATAGTAAGGCAAACAGTGTCAAAAAACGTCATAGTATATTAAGGCAAAAAATATTAAAAAATATCATGGTATAGTAAGGGATAAAAACGTCATAGTATAGTAAGGCAAACAGTGTCAAAAAACATCACAGTATAGTAAGGCTTAAAAACCTCCAAAAACGTCATAGTATAGTAAGCCACATAAACGTCAAAAAACATCATAGTATAGTAAGGCATGAAATCGTCATAGTATAGTCAGGCAAAAAATAAAAAAAAAATGTCTTAATATAGTAAGTCATAAAAATGTCAAAAAACGTCATAGTATATTAAGGCATAAAAACCTCAAAAAATGTCATAGTGTATAGTAAGGCATAAATACGTCATGGTATAGTAAGGCATAAAAATGTAAAAAACATCATAGTATAGTAAGGCAAAAAATGTTCAAAAATGCCATAATATTGTAAGGCATAAAAACGTCAAAAAACGTCATAGTATAGTAACGCATGAAAACGTCATAGTATAGTAAGGCAAAAACTGCCAAAAAACGTCATAGTATAGTAAGGCAAAATATGTCAAAAAAACGTCATAGTATAGTAAGGTATAAATAAGTCTTGGTATAGTACGGCATAAAAATGCAAAAAACATCATAGTATAGTAAGGCAAAAAATGTTAAAAAATGCCATAGTATTGTAAGGCATAAAAACGTCAAAAACGTCATAGTATAGCAAGGCATAAAAACGTCAAAAAATGTCATAGTATATTATTGTATGTCATAGTATAGTAAGGCATAAAAAAGTCTTACTATAGTAAGGTATAAAAATGTCACAGTATAGTAAGGCATAAAAGCTTCAACAAACATCATATTATATAAAGGCCAGACAAACGTCATAATATAGGAAGCCATAAAAAGTCAGAAAAACATCATAGTATATTAAGGTATGTCATAGTATAGTAAGTCATAAAGAAGTCTTAGTATAGTCAGGTAAAAAAAAGTCATAAAAAGGTTACAGTATAATAAGGTATAAAAAGGTATAAAAAGTAATAAAAACGTTGCGCTATAGTAAGGTATGAAAATGTCATGATATAATAAGGCATAAAAAAGTAATATTATAGGAAGTTATAAAAAGCAGTCATAGTATAGTAAGTCATCAAAACAGTCATAGTCTCATCATCCATGGAGAACCACTTTCATGAGAGGGTGATGTACCTTGATTTTGGAGGGCTGGTTGTATCTCTTTTGAAGCCATGTACAGGGAGGTTGGCAACGCTCCCATGGACTTTAAAGTTCTTAATAATAATGGCACCTGTGGTCACAGTAACATCAATCTGCTTGTAGCCTTCTCTTTTCTTTCACTTGTCCATGTTCATTGTGGTGAACACAATGATGCCGAACAACACAATGAGGACTTTTCTTATCTTAAATAGGCTAAATGACTGATTATAAGATTGATGAGACATGTGATACTTATTGAAGATAATAGTGTGCTTGAAACGTCACTACAATCTACTTATATATCACTACTTCCCATTTTAGAAGATGGTAGATAAACAAGACTTAAGCTCTTTTCACAACTTTTATTCTATGGTAAACCAAAGGCATGTAAGCATGTGTGCTAATTCAGCAGTCCTGCTGGCTGCTGTATTGATTGTAGACTGTATTGGACTTTAGTGTTTCTAATATTTAATCTACCATTATTGATGTGAATGGGATTGACAAAATATTACAAACAACTCATCAGTAGTAGTAAAACATTTCTGACTTTCCTCAAACACCAAATATGAATCTTTATTACTTCAATACAAAATAAAAATGCAGACATTTGTAAACATAATACAATTTATTAAGTATCTTTTTTTTTTTTATAAATTTTTAATTTGACATTTCTCCTGCTTTTTACATGATACAGTTAGATCTAAATGCAGCCCAACATTTACAGGCTATTTACAAATTAAACTTTCTCCATAGGGAAAATACACAAGTATGTTGTTGCTTCTTCAAGTATCTGAATCCCTGTTAACTTTTAAACATTTTGTTTTGCTACAATATGATTTCAAAATGCATTTGTTTAGAATCATTTGCATGAAGTCTGAGAGTGAAAGAAGGGTTGATTTATCTTTTTACTCACCGAGCTTTGGAGAAAAAGTCCTTGATGTAATCATATTGCATCAGAACAAAATATAAAAAAAATTACAGGGTAAATACTTTCCAAAGTGGCCGAATGTGATATAAACATGGGAAGAGGTCTGTGTAGTCATTACCCCTGATGTACAGCACTGTACATGGTCCCAGGAAAAAAAAGCTATATTATAAAATTTACACTGAACAGAAGACGTTATTCTCCAGATGAAACGAGCAACAGTAAATCTTAAAATACAAAATCATTTTTAAATGTTACACTTTACATACACATGATACTTTAATAAAGTAATCCCATTTACATTAAAAAAAGGGCTAAACTTCTGGTGAGTGTGCTACTGTGTCCTTTCACAGATCAATACATTCAGACTAAATTAGGAGGGCACAGCATGTTGCTGTTCCAGCAAGTGCTATGCTAAATTGTAGGTTTGCTGCTCGTTGAGACTAATAGAAATTCATTTTCACAGTGGTAGCTTTGGAAAAGGATGGTCTTGAAAAAAACAAGCATTGATTGGATTTATGTCAGCTGCTGAAATCACTTTGTACCGATCCCATATGGATGATACAGCTTCAATTCTGTGCCAAAAAAAAATCTTACATTCAACTGCAACTTGTCGAAGTCCGCAGAGCACCACAGATAGCACTACTACGAGTCCTCACTTTCAAAATAATCACTACAATAACAGCCATGGCATGCATTCACAGCATGCAAACACACATCCTACTACCATTTGCCCTACAAGACAGCATAAAACACACTTTACTATATATTTTGGACCTTTTTTTTTAGGTTTTCACATTCAAAATCCCTCAGACCGAGTTTTTATCTCCAACACTTTTGAACACACCACTGTCTGTTGTGATTTACATGAAGGGGTCATCTACATGTAGAAACTGTGATTCTATTTGGCAAAAATGTCTTTAAAAATATTAGCAGCTGTGACAAAAACATAACTTTATCCTAAAACACTAACTTGTGCTCAGTGTATAGTTGCTAGCATGTTTGTAGGACAAATAATAGAGATAAGTAACAGTTTGATTGTCCTTTAATTCGACACTAAAAACCAAACCCTTTTGCTTTAAGTGCTGTTGTCTTGAATAACACACATTAGCATTATGTCATTGGAGGATTTTTTTTTCATTGTCACAGGGATAGAAGTATAACAATAAACCCAAACAGCCAGCAGGTGGAGCTATTGCTGTATATGTCATGACTGAGGGCTGCAGCTCCTGTGCAGGAGGTTTAGTTCAGGCCATGATTTAGCTCCAGCCCTGCCGCATGTGCCTCTGCTAGAGAGGAGGAGCTTCCTTAAATCACATTCCCAATGTGCTGGTTATGGCAGCACTCTGATCTTACACTGTCACAGCTCTCATAACCCCCTGTAGCCTCAATAGTACATGATCTGCTATAGTTAATCCACAGCAGTCAAAGTGAGAAGATGGAGTCTAGCCAACAACACCCACATAAACACAGTCACAGGACGGTCATGGACATTGTACTGGCAGTGCAACATTTCCCTATATGAAGCTGTTTTTGTAAAGCTCATGTGAAAATGACTACTGCTCCTTCATCTGCAATAACAAACGCCAAGTGAGGGTCTAAAAACTGCACATCTGCCCACTCTGCATTGCCACACACACTCAACATGATGACTATCAACCACATGCAGCCTGGCATATCCCAATTTCAGGATCAAGATTTCAGGACACGGCGGTGATACTGACAGAGGTTTGCAGTTTGTTTTAGGAATGATCCCAGTTACTTTTCAACAGCAATAATGCTTAATGTACTCTGTGGAGCAGCGAGGTGTACGGCAGCTCTCCTGCCCTCGTTGTGGGCTTGTTGATGGCCTGGTCTGAGGCCTGTGATTCTCCCCTGTTGTGGGGTGTCTGCCTGCAGCCTGGTGGTCCTGTTGGCAGTGTTCAGGCCAGCTTCAGAGTGCTGATGGGGAAAGAGGGCATGGTCACCATTGTCACAGGGTTGAGCACCGTCTGACCCACCAGTTGTGGATGGTGGGCCACCATTTGGGTGCTCACTGCTGTCTGCTTGCCAATGATGGTGGCAGCTGGCTGGCTAGGTGTAGTGCCATTCACCTGTGGGTGGGCATGGTTTAATGTGTGGGTGATGTGACCAACCACAGCTGGCTGTGTGACAGCCACTGGTTGAGGATAGAGAGCAGGTAGATGCTGGCTCAAGTGTGCCACTGGGTGCACGGTAATGTGGCCAATAGGCTGAGGGCCGGGGGCTAACTGGACAGAGCTGGTGGTAGTGGAAGGAGCCAGGTGGGTAATGTGTTTGGCACCCCCTCCTTGGATGACATGGTTGACTGCTTGAATGACTGAGGGATGGGACACTGAAGCATGGGCAATAACTGTGGGGTGAAGGCTGGGTGCGGTCACCATCTGTGTCTGGGTGGGGATCAAGGGCTGAGTGGGAGTGGTGGGAGTGCTGGATGTTGTGGCTGTGAGTGTAGATGGAGCTGCAGGCTTGGATACTGGCTGTGGAGGAGTCATTGGCAGCGGCTGCGGGTGGTGCAGACGAGCTTTGTGCTGGATGGAGATGTGTTGGGTGATGAAGGAGGTAGTGGTGGTGCCAGGTGTCAGGGTTGGGGTCTGGTTGGGTGTTGAAGTCTTGTGCAGCTCAGGTTTCATGGTTTGAGGCACAGTGGGTAAGGCTGTCTGTGCTCCTGGTGCAGTCTCCTCATCTAGGTCATTGTCCATAATGTCTTCACCTTCTGCAACATCAACAGAGGAATTAACTCAGTATTACCGAATGCAATGTGATTTTGCACCTATATTTAAAAAAGTGATATAGTGAAAAGATATAGTCGATGGGACATTTAGCTGGTCAAAACTATTACAAATTTACGCAGTATTAACATTACTTTAAATACATTTTTAATATTAACATAGGGGAAGGACTGCAGAAGCCCCTCCCTTACTGTCAGCCTACCAGAGGCAGTGGAGGTCGAGGCCTGGTCCTCTTCAGGCTGCACTGTCTGTCTGAGGACACGGTCGATCTCAATCACATCCATCCACTGGCTCAGATCATTCTTCAGCTCTGCTAATCTCTGCTGCGTGGCTATCTTCTCTCTGGCCAGTCGCTCCATGTCGTGCTCATACTCCTTCTCTTTCCGCTTCAACGTCTGAAAGGAGAAAGTAGAAGATGTTAAAACACTTAAGTCATTGGTTTGTAAAATCATGAACTCAGTGACTTCATGACACTGTGAGCTGCCACTGGTAATGTACACAAGTTAATGGTTTATTAGGTTCACATGTACAGTGTAATGCAATAATCCAATAAAACAGCCCCACAATAAATCATGTCTTTGTGAAGCTGTGCTTTTTTGTCTAAGTTACTGGTTTTGCATTAGACCGTGATATAATGGTTTATGTTCCCTTTGTCAATGTAGATGTGGTTCGACAGATTACTGGAGGCACTTTTGAATATAACGGATTGACAATAACCTCAAAACTTAGGCGTTGATGCTCTCTGTCAACAAAGGTTTTGCATTATATGTAGAGATGTTTCTACTATTTTGTCCACCCCATTTATATCAGTGAGGGTATAACGCAATATAGTTGAACATCACCACAAACTACAACCTCTAACTGAGTGTATATTTTAATATTGAATTGTAATTTCTTATGAATTACTGTACACACATCAAAAATGTTGCAGCTAGTAAAGGTGGACCTGATTTTAACTGGATTTATAGCAGGACTGTTGTATTAGACTGCAAACTGAGTACAAATAATTCTGAAATTGGCCATTCTGTCCGATGTTTTGATGCAAATATTTCTGTATTTTTTAAATTCAGTGAACTTTTGAATACAGGGCTTTTAATTGTTACGTGTTTCATACGTTGTCATACTAAAGTAAACGTTCTGAATACTGACTGTACTACCACTGCGATGTTGTGAACAGCAAAACAGCTTTGTGATCTAGATCTTGTTATTGTACTGTATTGATTGTATGCAATATATCCATTACATTGTATTAATAGTCAGTTGGATTATTTGAACAATAACATGACGTACAGGGCTCCACTGTACAAAACAGCCTCATCATCCTCACATAGACAAGTTATCACAGACAATTAAACATTAATCTTCCGTCAGCCGCTAAAGGAAGAGTGAAGTTATTTCATTAATTGCTCTATAAAACATGTTAATTCACTGTAGTTCTGGTGTGTTTACTGCTCAGCACCAAGAAACACCTCCAATAAAACCTAAGTATAAGCCTGCATAACACCTGTGCTGTCTTTACAGCTGATTAATTAGTAATATGTCCAACAAGTAAGAATTTAAAAATAAACCTCAGACCAATGCCTGTGTGCAGGGAGCAAAATAACAGAGCTACAGAAACAAGAAGGAAGAAGAGAGGGATGAGGGAAGGAGGAGGGAGAAGGGGAGGGAAGGAGGAGGTGATGAGTATGGAAAGTAAGAGGTGCTTCCAGGCAGTGGCTCTCTGTGACCCAATTTCCCTTAACTTGTCAGCTGACACAAGGCAAAAGCAAACAAACTGAGCTGGACTTCCCTGTACACGGCAATAGGAGGAAAAGTTGTTTGTATGAAAACTTGAAAAGTTAAGAATTATGTATACAGACCAATACTCATCACCTAAAATACTCACTATGCAAATAACTTATTTCTATATAAATGACCGCTGGCTAAGGGGAATACCAATAGGATAGAGTTATGTTGTTAGGCATTAGTGCTTTGAAAATGAACACCTCATATAATTTATTAATCGACAACTTCAGCTTGGTCATACTACCCAACACGCTCTCTGGCGTTGAGGATCAGGGAAGTGACACTGTGTGAAATGTGTGACCAGCAACCTGATGACTCAGGATCATAGAGGCCCAAAGCCTGGACTTCCTGTTTGTGTTCATGCCACCGTGTGTATATGTGAGAGTGATAACTGTGTGTGGCTTTAGGCTTATAATATATAAGTGCGAGTGAGATGTCAGCTTGCATAGTCTGTGCCTGCATCTACAGTATAATATACATGTACATAAATAGCAAAAGGGGACAAAAGGCGGGCCTTGTGTAATTGGGCACCTGTCTGTAGTTCTTATCCAGGATTAGAAATGCATGGGCCAAGCAGTCTGTGCTTGGGCTGGGTCCCACTGGGATGTGTTCACACACAAATACAAACGCAGCGGAAGTCCTGTTCACATTAATTTGGCAGAGGAAATCTATGACAACAAGAACACAATTATCCCAATTAAATCCACATAAACGAGCTGTTCAATCTATTTATCAAGGTGAGGAATGGTACCTGAAATTACAGGCCAATACTGAAATATATTTAGAAGTTTAAATCCAGTATCAGTTAACATTTGATATGTATCCCACAGACTGTGTTAACTATATGTAAAAGTGAAATTGTTTCTAAATGACCTCCAACTTAGTTTGGCATTTTGGAATGAAATATCTTGGTACCTCTTGGCCAACATACACATTGATGCCAATATATTTGTAATGAGTTAATATCAACCCAGGACATTTATCAGTTTTTGCTCTACTTTAAATGCTTATTTCCAAATACAGACCAACAGATCAAAATTTTCTTCACTCAGTACTGTTATTACTCAGTGGTCAAGTTAATCACAAATTTGATTTGATTGTCTTTTGAACCATGGTAGTCTAATACTGTAGATATGCACTCAATTCTAGAGCTTAGTGACCAAGACAAATCATATACAATGTGTGCCTGACCACACACTTATAAACATCTGGACACAGATGTGTAATTCAGAACCAACCATCAACAGTCAGTCAAGGGCTGGGAATATCCGTATTTCAGAACACGTTAACAGCGTCCTTGGTCTCAACACATGATGTACTGAAATGCCCCCATCTTTGGTTGTCATGGAAACTACTAAAAACCTCTTAAGGTTTCCTCGGTAACCTAAAAGACCACGCACACCTTCATGTGCCAAAGGTGCAACGTAGTTTTCCCTGACAACATGTAATGATTTATTTTAACACTCACAATCTGAATGTAATTATTAACATGCATGGAGGATATATTTTCTGACATACATACTAAGCACCCATCTCAAAAGGATCTTCAGTAGTTCAGAATGAGATGGTATAGAGACTGAACAAAATGTGTGACATTTGAACCAGACAGGACTGGCTGCCTCACTTTTACCCTCATGTATTAGCAGGCAGCCATACATGAGTGGCACCACAACTGTGCATGCCACAAACTATGACTCATGCAGAGAGAAAACGAAAGAGGGGAGAAATGCTCCACAAACACCAAGGCCCACTGAACTCTCTGTTACAGTGCTGATGGCGGACAGAGCAAACACCAAGCTTGCCTCTTTACAACAGCATCAGAGATAAACTATGTACACCTGATAACCAAGTCTGTAGCAGATGGATCACACATGACTTCATCACCCTGTTAATCATGTCACCAGGTTGGTAGGACATAATGTGCCAAGTACCTTTGTTTCCTTGCACATGGCTGCACCCCCTGAGCCTCCGAACTTCCTCCTTCCACAGAGACAAGGCACCATCGCTGCCTTGTTTGTGTGTGAAAATCTAGATCAGTACAAGGACAGGCTGCATTATGTGCAAGTGTGTGTGTGTGCATGCATGCATGCGAGTGTGTGTGTGTGTGTGTGTGTGTGCGCATAAGGTAAACACTGCTCAAGCGCTGTCACAAGCAATGCGAGTGCTGAGCACATGGCCCCACAGAAAATGGGAAAGGGAGGGCAGCAGATAGCAGGGATTGAAAGAGAGCAATACAAGCTGTACTCACTGACTCACTTTTGCAGCAGTCGGGGACAGACAGCGCAAGACTGGGTTTTCTTAAAGGGCCAGCAGCTCAGGAGGCCACGTTGCGGACATGCTGCTCAACCTGGCTGACTGATCAGGCCTCTGCACAGAGGTCTTGTGACAGTGTGGTAACCATAAACCCTTGTCTTACTGTGCCTTCAAGCTGGAACAGAGAACTTCACGTGGTATTTGACTTCAACAATAAAAGGCTTGTATGTGGAAAAAAAATACCCACTTTTGCAAATCATACCTTGTATGCAAGCTTGTGCTACTCATAACAGGCCTAATTACCTCATCTTGGCTAAGAACTAAATGATCAATAGTCCAGACAATGCAGTTAAAGAATATTGTTAGACTGGTTGACAAAACAAAGTCAACAAATCTGACTACAATTAATATAGCTTTGTACTCATGTTGTGAAAAACAGCTCAGCTGGAAACAACCTCGCGGAAAACTTAAAATATTTAAGAAAAGAGAACTCGACTGGCGGGGAAGACTGATTATTTTTAATGTTTAAGGCTGACTGAATATGAAAATGTCAAAGCAATAAGTGCAACTATGTTTTAAGGCTAGGCTTCAAAGGAAATATGCAATTATGTGCACAATGAAATGTCAATAGTGCTGGAAATATTAAAATATACACCCTCTCATTTTATCTTATTTGTTGTAATTTTCCCCACCAGATGGCACAACACGCTTCAGACTGGCATTTGGTGACAAGCAGTGGAGGAAGAAGTTCAGTCAGCTTTCAGGGGGAAATGAAGCGCGAGCGGAGTAAACCGAGCCTTGTGTTTACTGCTCCATGTTCCCTCCCTGTTGCTGGCAGCTAAGCCTGGTGGTACGGTGAGTTGCAGAGCGGGGCGGGGGCCCAGCACGGGGGGTGACGTCACGCGGCTCAGGCTAGCCATGTGCTTGCTGCTCATGTGGCCTTAAAAGCTCAGAGAAGCAGGAGGGAGGGAGGGGCAGAGGGGGAGTAGACAGGAGGAGCTTTAATGCATCAGGACTTATTTTACAGCTTCAGCTTTCGCAGTGCCACTACAGGTTCAAGGGAACAAATGTACTACATTTAAAAAACTCAACCCCATGTATATCTCTGTTAGCATCATAACTAAGACACAACCAAGAAGAAGAATCTGTACGCATGCAAGGTTTCTAGTCAGATAGTTGCTGAGTCATTTGCACTTGAACTGAAATGAGGAAGTGTAATTTGATCTGTGTAGCAGTTGGCCGAGATAGTCACTTTCTGTGGAAAACTGCTAAAATTCAGCAACAAAGGCTACTACTACCACTGTACTCATTTCCAAATTAACACTAGATAACAGGCAAGATAAATCAAATGAAATGTGATGGTGATTTGAACCTCTCAACCCAGTGTTGTTGTGTGCAGGCTGCTTTTCTGCTGCCAGCCCAGAGGAGAGCAAGGACAGCCGGGGGAGGGAAAAGGCAGCTTCTGGGAGAGAGGTGTATTCAGCCATGACACGCGTCTGTACCACCCATGTCAAGATGACAGTGTGTGCACGTGTTTGTTTGTTTTTTTGGCTTGCCATCACCGAAAGTTCCCTACCCCTTTTACTCCACCCCTCCAAAACAAAATAACATTAGTGAAAAAAGCCACCTTGTGACGAAGCGGCACATACGAGTAAACTTACAAAAGCAACTAAACTGTTCTGACCTACAATAGATAAACAGTTATAGCACCTGTCAATAAGAATTTACCTTTAAATCACTGGAAAGTTGTCTTAGCTCTGATTCAGGAGCTCAGATTTGTGAGCATGTATCAACTAACATATTTGGAAGACACATTAACTACTGTGACTAGCTTTTTGGACGTTTCTGCGGAAAAAGGTATTAGTTGTGATTTTTTCCCCCTCAGTCTTTTTAAATATATCCCTTGTCCAGCTCAGCTGTTAACATAGGAGAAAAAGGAGGCAGGTCAGTCTGCCAGTCGAACACAACACCCTGAACACCGTGTTGCTTAATCACACAGAGAGGGGGCAGAGGGAGGGAGATTGGGTGACGAGCTCTGCACCCACGCTGTCCTAGTTTCCCTCTGTATCCACGCGCAGAGAGGAATAACCAGACTGCTGCTTCTTCTCAGAGCATCAAATAAGCAGCACACTGTCCTCTGCAAAATTTACATACGTAAATATGCACCACAGTTATATAACAATAAGGGATATGAACAACCACAGGGTCAAGTCTTCTCAGAGGCCTTAAAAGCACATAACCAAGCTGGGCTATCAGTATGCACACCAGATATTACTACTCTGTATAACCACATAAAATAACAAAGTAAGTGATTCTTAAACTGCAACACCTGATGCCATCTTGGGCCCAGGGGTGAGCTTGTGTCTCAGATTTAAACTTGCCACTCTACAGGATGTATCTACATGAAAACAAAAAAATGATCCACAGTAAACACTATGACATGCTCAGCAGCACAGTCACAGTCTGAAAGAGTTAAACTAGGCCAGTGGTGGACCTTTGCACCAGCTTTTTACAACGAGGATACTCTCACATTGAGTGCGTGACAAAAAGACATGGCGAGTCATTTGTGGACATGGCAGACATACCCAATAAGAGTCACTTTAAAATGGCACAAACGAGGAAATGTTCGTGACTCCTCAGTAAATAAGGATCTTAAAACAGAGACAGACACCGACAAAAGGCAGGAAATGCTTGAAAAAGCAGAATGTGACTAAAATCAATAGGAAGGCCAAGCAGAAAGAAGCTGGAAATACTCTTAGAAACGTTTTAATTCAAATCTCACCCTGACTATTGGTAGTAAATACTTATTAGGGTCAGATGATGACTACATGGTGTATAAGTTAACTCACTATACATAACTTGTACCTTATGTCCCTAAAAATCACTGCACCTTTTACTACAACAATCAGGGATATTTATGAGGAATGATCGATTAGTTGATTACTGTTGGAAAAATTGTGATACTTTATGAATAACATAAACATCTTAGAGGGAAACTGTTTTATCCTGTATTATCCTGGGAAACTGTATTATCCTGTAATATCCTGAGAAACTGTATTATCCTGAATAGAACTTTCTATTATTGTGTTTGCTTGTAAGACAGATGTTGTCCGAGAGGAGCGGTGACCTTCGCTGTTTCTCCCGGCCGGTACACCAAAACATAAACTATGATAAGGCTCTATTATGTCTGTCTCATTTCAGCAACAATGCAAGGTCTGTGTATAAGATTCTGTGTGAATCTTGCATCCGTTGAACATTTGCACTGTGAGCTCTGGTGTGTAACTTGTTCCCTTGCTGCAAGAATAAATATCCTACTCTTATAATTTTCAGACGGTGTTCCTGAGTTTTATTTGATAATTTTCCTGACAACTTGGTCCTTCGAGCCGGATCTCAACAACCTTTCCTACTGTCCAGGACAGGACCTGAACCGTGCACGGGGGAGGCTGGGACTCCTGAACTAAAAGTCTAAAATTTGCTGTTAAAAAGAGGCCAGGATCTACTGGACTGTGAGAAGGTGACGAGATCCACGAACAGAGAGAAACCAGGACGTCTGAATCATAAGGTAGGAGAGTCAAGTTAAAGACTATAAAATAGGTAAAGTCAAGTTAAAGACTATAAAATAAGTAAAGTCAAGCCAAAGACTATAAAATAGGGTGAGTCCAAAGTCTGTGTGAGAAGACTACAGGAATAAATAACTCCGTGCCGCACGTTAAAGAGAAGGCCTAAAATAGTTCAGGGAACTATGAAACAGTAAACTGGGTTTACTAATAAAAATAAAAATAAAAAAATATATAAATAAACAGACTATTTTGATAATTGATTAATTGTGTCATTTTCTAAAGAAAGAATACCAACTTATCTGATCCTTGTGGTTTCCTTAGTCTTCTTTGAGAGTAAACTGAAAATCTTGCTTAGACTTTTGGTAGGACAAAACTTTCTGATCTGACTATATACCCTATCACATCTGTTATGACAGCTTACTACCTTCAATTGAAGCGATACCAGCCTGTCCTCATAACGTTAGTACTGATGTATTTACCAATAGACACACTGGTCCAACTTCTCTTGGTTCCTTTTACTGCAGCGTCCTGCTTAAAATTGCAAAAATGACGACAGTCTAAACTGGAGGTCTACCTCCAGTGGCACAAGTGTGTACTGAATATAAGCGTGCTCTATCCACTGCTAGAGCAGCATATTTTTTTCAGTTACTCAATAACAATAAATATAATCCCAGATTTATTTTTGACACCGTAATAAAACTTCAAAAGCAGTTCTCTCTTAGCTGTTTTAAGTCTTACTTGTCTGAAAGAAAGTGTATTTCTAGTAGGGATATCACCAGAACCAATACCAATACAGTACCAAATCAATACCATATAAAAAACAACAAACCCTAACCCTTAGTCAAATTATATCCAATCATGGAATTAATTTCCACTGTTACACTGATATTACTCAGCTGTACCTTCCAGTAAAAGCTGATGACATTTCTGAAATTTTCTCAATTTGTCTTGCTTGTCTGCTGTGAAAAGCTGGAAGTCAAAACATTTCCTGCTCCTAAATTCAGATAAAAATGAGATGCTGGGCATTGGCCCTGCCTAACAGAGACACCAGTTTGAACAAGCAACAGTAACTCTCGACTCCTCTGTCACTTCTTAAAGTATGACAGCCAAGAGCCTTGGTTTTATGTTTGATCCTATCCTCTCTTTTGATCTCCTTAAACCTTATATTCCATCCTGTGCTTTTAGCCCTCAGATTGCAGGGCTCCTGTCTGTCCCCAGAGTTTAAAAAAAGTCTGCAGGCTCCAGAGTCTTTTGCTATGTGCCTCCTTGCTCTGGAACAACCTCTTTGCTAACATCAGACTGACTACACTAAGGCCTTTAAATCCAAACTTAAAACTCTTCTTTATGCCTTAACTTTCAGTTAGGCTTATTCTTTAATTATGGTACCTGTTACTGTTCTCCCGCCTGTGGGCCGATCTCAGTCTCAATGAATCCATTAGACCTAGTACGTACAGAATAGTCCATGGGGTCCTGCCAATGAGATTACTGTTAACTTTCTCATAACCACTGGATCTCTCTAACCTTCTGTGTGTTTATTCCCTCAGGCACACGAGCATCCAGGCTGTGAGACCCTCTCTCTTCTCTCCTCCCCATCCTCCCTTTTCACTCAGGTTCTTTTTGCTGGACCATTGGCCATCCTGGGATCACTCCCTCTCCTGGCTATTAGTGCCTCATTCAATATGTTTTCGATCTGGATCTTCATCCCAACTGCTAGCCTCCTCCTTGTCTCTCTCTCTCTCTGTGTATTTGTTTCCTTCTTGTAGACATGTGAGTGATGTGCTCGGTTATGCCTCGTTTGTATAGTCTGCCCTCTTTCCAGGTCTTCATGATGAAGAAGAGGTCATGAGGATGACGTTTTATCTGTTGGCAGCACCTGGATGCTGCTTGTTGACCTCCAGTCATATTCTTCATTAATGTTTACAATCTATAATGCTGTGATCCTGATTGTCCATACTATAAATCCACTATGTGCTCATGACATCTATTGCATGTTTGTATGTCCTGAAAGAGGGGTACCTCCCTTAAAGATCTTCATGAGGTTTCTTCTATTTTCCCCTTTTTTACCCATTAAACGTTTTTTTGAGGAGGTTTTTCCTTGTCCAGCTCAAAGGTCTAAGGAGAGAGGGTGTCATAATGCTGTACAGATATTTAAGTCCATTGAGGTAGATTTGTGATTTGTGATATTAGCACTATCTAAATAAAATTGTGCTGGGGCTCCTAAAGCATGGAAGTTCCATTGTTCAGTGAGTGCCAAGAAACCAGTGCAAACAAGTCTTTGCAAGATTCACAAACATCTGATGAATGCATTACACAGGCTGAAGCGTATAGTCTGAAGAATATTTGGTTTAAACAAGGATACAATACATCACTAACTAAAGTTTAATGTCTGGTATAGTTGTCTAGCAACATATCTTTGCCAAAGATACAAAAAACACAACATGTGTTGTAAAAGCTCTTGGTGCCAAGAACTTTTACAAACATTAAGACACTTATGTCCCAGCTAAAACTGTATGACAATAAAAAGAGGACCAAGTTACCCAGGATAAGTTGCGCCACCTCTCCTCCAAGTAAAAAAGTCAAAGTCATTCATATTACGATGGAAGGTCCTGATATGACCTTTTGGTAAAATATTTCATGGTGTTACAACAGTCAGCTCTACCCAACACCTAAATCACTCACATCACTTTACACATTTAGCAGTAAGACCGAAAATCAGACCTCAGACACCAGTGGCTTACCTGAATGTATCTCAGCGCACTTCTCAGCACACTCAGGTTGGAGGTTTTCTTCTCATCAATGTTGGGGATGTTCTTTTTCAGTGTCTCAAAGCACTCCTTCAAGTGTGCTCGTCTGACAAACAAAAGATACAGAGAAGGGACTTGAGACAGCAGAAATGGTGTAAGAGCCACACTAGGCTTTATTTTATTAACAGATGATTACAAAACAAAACCTCCAGCTGACGTTCTAAAAAAAGTAAAAAAAAAAAGAAAAAAAAAGAAAATCTAAAAAAAAGATCAAGCATAGCATTTAAATTAAACTGCTACAAACAAAATATGGCCATAGATTCAGAGTAATCTATCGAACAAAAGCCATTGGGGAAAAGTATCATTCAAATATAACAATACAAATATCCTCAGTTCTCTCTTAAGGAGGCCCTGTGGTAGACAGGTTAAACCCACCTGTTTTTCTCAAGCTTGTTATGCACTTCTCTTGTGCCTGCCCTGTAAGAGCACAGATGAGAGCACAGTAAGAATTTGGTTTCCAAAAGGGCAACGTGACAAGAATTATCAAAATCAACCAAAGCAGAGTTTTCTTGCTTTATTTCTAGCAGAAAATATAGTGACAATACTCAGTCAGAGATGTCCAACTTAAAGTAGAATTCATAATCTAGGCTGAATCTATAATGATACTCTGACATGCTTGTAAATTATACTATAAAAAGGAAAGTCTCAGTTCAGTGGCTAAAAACGATTTGATCAATAATTTTAGTCTTTTAACAATGAAATACCAATAATGTAGCTGCTACACAAATGCTAAATAGTTCTTGTGCTTTGAGGTGTTTTAGGGGATATTTTAAAGACTAATATTGATTGACAAAACTTAACCGATCAATTAAAACCAATACTCAGCTGCAGCCCTATTTCGGTTATAATGTAAACAAGTTAATAGGTTTAGGCTTACCCTCCAGGTCTCTTCTTGTTGTCCAGCTGGCGGCCGTCATCAGGAGGACTCCCCCGGCTGTTGGAGCCATTCTGTAGAGGAGGCTGCTGGAGCACAGGCCCAGACTGTGGGAGTAAGGCATGTTGCTGTGGGGGTGACACGATGGAGCCAGGATAGCATTGAACCAGCTGCTGGTGTGTCTGCTGCTGTAGTTTAGTGTTGTTGGTTTGGGTGATGAGCTGTGGATGGAGGTGGTTCTGTATCGGCTGCTTGTGGTTGGCGGTCAGCACAGAGGTCGGGTGGTCAGGTTTGGGCTGTGGAGAGTGCGACAGAGCAGTGGCACTTTGCTCCTGGGGGGAGTAAGGGTCTCTCCTGCGTGAGGTCAGTGGAGGAGCAGCTGGAGGGGAGAGTGTGGCAACAGGCAGAGTGGGTGATCCTGTAGGGTTGGGGGTGACCACGGGGATGGGGATGACAGTAATGGGCATGGAGGAGGGAGGCAGAGAGGGTGGTATGGGCATCGGGCGGCACTCAGTATGAAGTTCCTCTGCTTTAGAGACATTGTTGATGTGGATTGTTGAGTTATAGTTCACGTCCGAGTGCCTCTGCCCTGTCAACTGCTCCAGATGAAGCTTTTCCTTTAGTTCATCCTCTGTGGAAGAAACAAGACATGTTAACAGAACACATACACACAGTCTCTTCACTTCAGCTACTATATATCACAGATATATGAATACCCTTTGACAGACAGCCTGACAACCTGCACAAACCAAGGCCTGCTAGCTGCCAAATTAGTCCAGATTTACCTATCATAGTGTACCAGAGTAAAGTGCTCAAGATTTAGAGCCACAGGCATCTCCACACATGGCAGCAACAGAAAATGTTGATCTTCAAAACCCAAAACTCAGGCATCATGACGTCAGTGGCAGGTTTGTGTTTAACCCGGTGGTAATGTCAAATAAATGATTCAACAAAGATAAGAATAACATCTTACAGCAACAGCAGCGGGTGCTCCAATCTTATGAGATAGTCTGTACCTCCCTGTTCATTTTTATGTGATCACTGTCTGTGGTCTAGTGTTGACCATAAGCCTTAGTTGAATTTTATATGGGCAAACAGGGAGAAAATAAAGTCTCTGTGGGGAAAGAAGTACTACTCTTTTACTGGCCCTACTTTGTGACAGGCTTTTGAAAAATTTGGTCTAGCTTAAAGCTCGCTCTAACAAAAGGAGGTTGTTGCTTTAATGGAGGTACATGTTGCTGTAATGTAATCCCAGTCACAGTCCACTGACCAAGTTATGTTAGGGAGGTGGTGTCTGAGCTACATCTCTAACAAAACCTCACACTGAGGGAGCCCTACTACCAACACGTGTCTCACATTTACTTTTGTAAAAAGGTGTCCATAAGCATATTACCTATGTCAAGAACACAACAAGATGTATGTTGTGAAGAGTAAAGTAAAAAACACATTTGGGAGGTTGACTATTACTGGAGCTGCAGCATATGGCAGTGAAAAAGAGTTGTAATCAAATAAATAACCTTGTAGTACTATCCATTCACTTTCAAGACACCCCTCCATAATGTATAGATGCAGGAGAAAGGGGCTGTCTTGTTGCTATGCTAGCTGTGATGTTCCACGTTAGAGATTTCAGATACAAGTAACTGTCATTAACATCATTATGAAGGAGAGCAGGGTCACTGCAGCATTACACAGTACTCTCTTCACTTCCGATTCACTAACAGTGAATCTACACTTAATTACATATTAGGAAGTTTGTTAGAAGTCACTGAAAACATGAAGATATCATGATAAGATGTTAAGGATTATAATGAATAGAAACTTGCAAATTAAAAAAAATACTACCTTCTCCAAAAAACAAGACACAATGGAAAATATGACTATAAAGATAAATGACACAGGATGACCATCCCCTATGGACAGTGTCATCAGTCTTTGGGTCTCCTTCATAATAATCAACACCTTTCTAAAATGTCTGCAAAGATTCTCAGTCATTTGGGTCATGGTTATCCAAGAGGGGTTGAATCAAGGGCAGCTGGACTTGGTTGTAAATACCTAAAGACACCTCTCATCAAAAGAGGCTTCAGATTATCAGAACTATGTCTACAATGACTATATCTTGTTATATAACAAGATCAAACTGAACAATTTAACCTTCACGAGGGTAGGATTTACTGCAGTACTGTTTATTAGGTGTACCAAATAACCTGGAAACTGATTGTACAATACGATGACAGATGTCTGCCTTTGTAATCAATTATTTGGATTTAAAGCAGGTTAAATATTTCCTCCTTGAAAATTGCACTCATTGGTTTGTAAGCGTTGCACAAATCAGTACTTCATATTAATCATTTGGGTTAAACATTTTGTACCAATGTACCAAAATTGTATTTGTCTAAAAGCTAAAGAGTTTAAAGTTCAGGAACATTATCTCACACACACACACAGACACACACAGACACACACAGACACACACAGACACACACATTGTCACTGTAAAAAAAATGTGAAAGAGGAAAGAAACATTTCCAGCTCTAAGCAGCTCTGGAGAACATTTCATTGGTATGAAATTGAACAGTCCGGTATGTCACTTTTTGCTGCAGATATGTGTTATGTTTCACTGAGAAATCTTTTCTTCAGAGTGAAAAAAGAAAAAAAAAGAAAAAGAAAATATAAAAAATACAAAAGAACAAGATGTACTAGTTAGTGCACTAGCTAGGTTTCATAAGATGTTTCATGCCTTGTAATGAGAGACTGATAAGTTAGTATTGTGGTGCTGACACACACCAGACTGAGGAGTCCTTTCCTGAGAGCAAACCTACGAAACACCTACAAAAACAAGAGGGTTTTCTATAGACATTATATAACTGCAGCAGCACATAGAGAAACACTGGCCTACTTTCCTCTACACAGTGACCTGCTCTACAGTAGCAGAGGGTGGAAGAGGGGAGGGGGAGTGCAGCAAGGCGGGAGGATCTGGGAGAGGGAAAAAAGTAGGAGTTCTCACTCTGACCCTGTTCTGAGTACCACAAACAAACTATTTCCCCACAAATGGTTGGGAAAATTTCTATACTGACGGTTTAAACACAAGCTAATCTTTACAGAGAGAAAAACAATGCTTGTGCAACATTTGGCACAAGCCTAAACAACATAGGATATTCATTATAATGTACAAGGTGATACTGTTTACAACAACATGACTGAGCTGCTCTGTTACCTTGTCATTAGCATGGAGGGAGAGCAGTTCACTAAATTCTGTTTTGAGCCAATACTTGATTTTTGTGAGTGTGCTACTGATGTGCACTATTTTCCTAAAGTGCATGATATAACAAGTGGAGCTATTAATAGCTTTAAAAATGAAAGTAACTTGTGGATGATTGTGAAACAGCCACAGGTAATTCTTTGGAAAACATTTTGCTATCTCTTGGTGCAGTTTAATTGGCAGTCCCATTTCAACTCAATTTCTACTGGTACAAAACTGTAAAGCAGTGGTAAGCAGTCTTCCAACAAAAATATTTACACAAAGCTTATTTTTCGCAAATATACTGAAGTTAACAATAAATACTTCATAAACAACCATTGCACATCTAATAATCAATGACTTGCAACACAAATATAAACGATTAGCAGTCTAGCAGACAGGGTGTGCCGATAAAAATCTATGGCAACAATAACAGTATTTTCATTAAACCATAAATGAGGCCGCTGTTTGAGTTTCGACAACCCATCAATTACATTAAGTCTTATAGTGCAACATGAAGTAAACATGTGTTTATGACTCATCTTTTTTTTGCCAAATTAGTTCTACAGCATTATATACTGCTGTTAACATTTACTAGTCAATAAGAAAAATGGCATGGATATAATCCTAAAACAACCAGTTTTATAAATGTGTTTTATTCTTAAAAGAAATAATGTAATGAAACGTATTGGCCTAAATCTCCACACTGCTTGTGAAACTAAGTCACTGAGCTACAGCGTCTGTTCCTCTTGTTAGTGGAACAAACTAGATTTTGTTTTCAGAGTAGTTTGTTTCACACAAATCAGATATGTAGAGCGGGAAAGTAGCGAGTCATCTTCTTAATAAACAATCTTTGGAAGGGGTTGCCCAGCACGCACGTGGTGAAAGGGGCGGGGTCGCTCCCCCTCCTAAAATGTTAACATGGAGGGGCGTGGTTGAAGGGTACACGTCATCGACAGACATTCAAAGCTCTCCACGAGCGTCTGAAAGGCCAGGGAGTTTGTTTGTTTATTTATATATTTATTTTATTTTACGAGACACAGACAAGCAGACTGGAACATGCAAGTGCACGGTGATATAGAACTACAACAGCTAACATCTTTAAGCATCGGGAGCGGGGGAATAGTAGGGCAGGGGAAGCCTGAAAGCCAGTCACTTGATCCCCGGCCGACGATGTCAGGTCATTATGTAAAACAAGCTTGGCATCCCACTGCGCCACCGCCCTTTGCCCCCCCATGTTTTGGTTTTTTGGTTTTAAATGTTTCGTAGCAGTGCGTGCAGACGGTGATGAATATACTGACGAGCAAAAGCAGAAAGGGAAACGACCTGACAACTTTACAGTGACGCTGCTGTTGCACATTAACAATCCTGTCTATGCAGCAGGTTTCAATGCAGTAACTCCTGATACTGCAGCGGCCCATGTATGTTTAATAGCTATTTGGGACAGCCGTGATTAAACTTAAACGAAGACAAACCAAAGCAAGAGTTAACGAAACTCAGCAACGCTTCTACACACCAAAACGAATATGAAAGTAAAACTAAAATAGTACTTGTGGTCATGTTTGAATATAAAAAGCAACAAATCTGTGATGTCCATACTGAAATTAGTTCATGATAGTCGCTCATAAATGAACAATAAATAGTTTGTCTTTGGATTGGAAAATAAAATCTTTTACAGACACATTTTGTTGGATTACTGAGCGTGATACGATCAATATATCCTAGTTTACACTATAGGGAAAACATAAACTATAATAAATTGTAATAAAATACCTACTTACCACGTGCTTTCTGTTGTTGCTGGGCTTGCAATTCCAAAAACTTGGCTGCTTCCAGGAGCGTTTCGATGCTCATTTCTGTCCAGTTGGAAAAACGGTGTCTTATTTTTTTTTAGAGAAAGGCGATAAAGCAAATGCGATACGTGCCCGGGTAGCACAGGGAGAGGTCCCCAGTCTAAAGCTGGAAAAAAGGGTAACCGGACACCCCCTCAATAGAAACTCTACCACTACGTAGAGGAGTTACAAACAAGATGGCGCTCAAAGTAGTAGGAACAAATAAGGTTTGTGAATCACGCACCGTTTGTAACCGCCCACAGATGACACACTCCCTCCCAGCGACAAAACATGGAGTACGGTTTGGATGGGATTCACCCTGTCCTGGGTTGCGAGTCTGAGCCCGTCGCACTCGTAGGAACTGGTGTTAAAATCACCTGGCCTCTGATACTTTATCAGAAAAAGTGGTACAAAATGTGGCAAAAGAAGCCGTTAGCAGCCAAACTCTCCCACCCCTGCCTGTCATGTGTCGCTTAGCAACCGCCTCAGTTCAGCAGCTAAAATTAACCTACATCATCACAGTACGGTAAGCAACGATTTATAATCACTGTTCGTGGCTTTTTACATAAACTTACATTTTCAACTCACATCCGTCTTGTGTCATATTTGTAAGAACCCTGGCATCTAATGACTGCTTGAGGTTTATTCGTGAAATTTCACTCCAACTCCTATTTACCCTCGAATTGGGCTTCAATGTATTGACAATATATAACACTTGTTAGCCAGTGACTCATCAAAGTGGAAATCATACGTGACATAATTTTCTCCATAATTTACAACTAACCATGAATGCAGTAGGCTAAATTTACATCTCATTAATGTACTGTTCGACGGCCAATCAGCGTGAAGAACAACAAGGTATGGCTCTGGCCCACATGGATACAAGCAATGCAGTGTATTGTGCTACATCTCCCGCGTCCAAGCGTCAGAGACAAGCGCATACACAGATTATAATACAGATATATTATATAGAGATACATTAGAAAGGCTCAAAATGGATCCAAATAAAATCCGCGTTGTGAGGGGACATATGCACAGCTGACCCGCATTCTTTGCTGTTTGCACTGTGTCCATGACCTTTTTAATCATTTAACTAGTGACTAAAAATGTCAAATTGAGTAAACAGCAAAGCATTACAAGCACATATGCAGTCTTGGAAAGTCATGTACATTTACTCAAGTACTGTGCAATTTTGAGGTAGTTATACTTGAAGTACAAATTTCTGCTAACGTAGTTTTTACTAATCCACTACATTTTATTGTACTTCTTACTCAACTAAATATGACAACTTCAGTTACTTTACAGATTGAAAATACAATCGACAATTAAATTAGGTTTAGATAAGACTGTAACATATATACAGTATTCTGAAATGGGCCATCCTACAAAATGAGTACATTTTCCTTTGGGTACTTAAAGTATGATGCCAATACTTTTATACTTTTAAGTTAAATTTTGAACACGACTTAACAGAATATTTCACACATTGATACTGCTGCTTTTACTTAAGTAATAAATCTTAAGTAATAGTACTTCTTTCAGCACTGCATATAGGGGAGCAAATTAAGACCTTTAATGCAATTAAATAATTAGTTATGTAGCAATAGTTGATTTATTCATGTAATTACCGTTATTACATTTCAGCCATTGCCCAGGAATAGCCAGACTGGTTTATAAGGTCAGAGTTTACCTATGAATGAAATTTCCTCTTTATGTGTAAATGTGAGTAAAATAACTAATAACTATAACTCATCAGGTGTTTATTTTCCTAAACATTAAAAGTGCATATCATTATCAGTTGGCTATATGACAAAAGAACACAAAGTGCCTGGTTTAATGTTACTTTTGCTCTACTTTTTCCAGTTCTCACATGATTTTCACACACACACACACACACACACACACACACACACACACACACACACGTGGAGTCAATGGCAAAACCGAGGGACATTTCGTACAACTGCAAATTGTGTTTTTGCCTGACTCCAACAGTGAACGTGCACGTACGCATGGCCCTGGATATTTAGGTCTCCCTTCCTGTTATTCACTCAGCCCTGGTCAGGAAATGTGTCGGCTACAACAGAGTAATAATAGCTGCTACAATACTGAAAGTTGTCCAGGCACAGGAAAGGCTGAGGGGCTCCAGGAACATCCTGAATTACACAGCCAGTGTAAATTTAAGATGTGCTGACTGCCAAGACAAAGCCATTCACAAATACAATGTCTAAAAAACAGCAATCAAAGGATTTAATCTTCATTCAACAGAATTTTCCCTTGTAGAAGAAACACAAACACTGTCCTCTTGTGGCCATTTAAAGGCACTGAAGCATCATCAAAAAACACAACAAATTAAAAAATACTTGACTGTGCATAAAAGAAACACCATGAAGTGGCAAACATGTTATAAAAATGTACATTTATTCCAAATGTTTTGACAGCTTTGAGGAAAAATACCAGTGTGCAGTATGTACTGCATTAAAAGGTAAACTAACAAGTACAGGAAAATCTGAAATGAATAATGGCAACATGTAATTGTGATTCTCTACTGGAATAAATTTCCAGTGGCCACAGAGGATTCGGCATTTTCCAAACCTCTCAAAAGCTGCATACAAATATACAGAGAAAAATAATTTTAACCGTCCAGAAAGGAACTAATCTCTAAAAATAATGTTTGTGAAATTCGCACCCGTGTTTTTATTTCTGATCATTTAGGACTTTGCAACAGACTTTAAAAGTGTGTTCTTCAGGTAAGTGCACAGTTGATTCATCAGGTCTTTGTTCTGACCCTCGACCCAGTGCATCTCAACCATCACATCGCTCTCCTCCAGAATCACATTCAACAGACACTTAAACAGGAAGTGTTGGACTGCACCAGGGCTCGGGGGTTGCTTCGAGGGCAGTTCACTTGCTACGGCAAGTATTTCCTTTGGGCCTATAGACTCCATGTCCACATCTTCACCAGTTACATCTTCTGAGACTTCTTTTTGTTCTCCAGTTGTGTTCTGCGTTACATCATTACTTATGTCATTTGAAGAGGAGCCATTTCCTGTCTCCTCTTCAAGCTGATGTTCATCTAGCTCCTGTGCAGAAGTGGTTTTGTTTTGAGCGTGATCACCTTGGGTCTTGCTGTTTTGTGTGGAAGCAGGTTTGTTTGATTTGGCCGTGGCGGGCACAGCTGAGGCCACAGTGGTTTGAGAGCTGGTTCCTGCACAGTGAGGCGCTCTAGGGAGCTCTCGCAACTGACGCTTCTGTTCACGTCGTCTCTGACGACCGTGGATCCAAGTGTTCTCCACAGCTGTCAGAAAGAGACTCTGCTCCTGCTTTTTGCAGGGGACATGTTTGTGCAGCACCTGTCATGCAAGAAGACAAACAGACACACTGAGGTGACTTGACAGTGTGTGATCTACCAAGCTGATCAATTACATTTAGTCAGTTAAATGCAGGGAATGAGCAGGATTGTAAATGCATGAAAAACGTGCTAATTCACACAACAGCTCTGCAGATAAACACTACCTTTGTGACCCTGAAGCATCTAATGTTTGGTTTCTAATGTGACTGTGTCAAAGACGTGTCGACTCAACTCTATAGTAATGTTTGAGGCTGTTGTATAGTTATACAACAAAATTCATCCACAGTGCAACTTGGGAATAAACATGGGATATATCAAAGCACTCTTCTTGCTTCAGGTACTAGTGAGCCCTTATCTGATGCCAAAAAATAGCACAGCAAATTATAATACTATGAGACAGGAGGATGTTACAACTTTGCAGAGTTGTCTTACCCTCAGGTCAGTGAGTGTTCTCTCCAGCAGGGCAGTGATGCTGTCCACAGGGCTACAGGCAGTGCAGCCGATCGCCAAGGCTTTCACCTGGAGCTCCTTGACTCCTGCCTCTGGAAGTGTGAACGACAAGGGTTTCCGGGACTTTTCCAGTTTGCGCTTCTTACTGGGAGGAGACTGAGGGAAAACCAGAGAGAATTAAACAATAATCCTTACAAAGATTATTCTGGACATGTAAAACAGAATGCAAAAGGACACGATTAAAATCAGTTTCCTTATTAAAGGTATATTTTTAATTGAGAAACAGAGCAGCAGGTCAGACAGACAAATCAAAAAGTGCGTGTGGGTGAGACTTGTAAATGCCATGGACACCTGTGGTATCATAGTCAATAGGATCATTTAGCTAATGTGTAATAGAAATTACAGTCAAACAGAGTATTACATTCCGTCTTGTTTTTAATCAACGGTATTTTTCTCCTTTTCCCACTTATCTCATACTTTTTATACAACATTGATGCACATTGTTAGTCTCGCTACTTTTTCTAAATCTGGTCTGTTTTGTTTTTTATTAGTAGTATTATTTAATAGTCCAAAAACACTATATCTAGAGCAGGGCCACCAGCAGAGGGGAGTCAAGGGTAGTGGTCTGCACACAGTAAAAGCTGTTTAACACATATTTCACAAATTTTAGTCAGTGACAAGACAAAATGTTTTCTTATAACCAACATAATTGATAAGAGGCATCTAAAAGAGACACCTTTAAAAATCTTAAAAGTGAAAATCTAAACCAAAGAATCCATATTCCTCATGTGGTTAAGGACAGTCATCTGTGAAAATTAACTTTTTCTTAAAGCTGTCAGTCTCATATCCAGGAGTTGCATTCCAGTCCAGTTGCAAGAGATGAGTTGCATCTCATACGTCAAAGTAGAGATTTTTCTTTAAACCTCCAACTTTTTGACCATTGCTCTCTGAGTGACATGCTACTACCAATAACTTTAGATCTAATAACAAGCCGGGGGTGCACATATTATGGCAACCAGCAATAACGCGTGAAGTTAAAACGTTCCTCGTACCTCTCATTCAGTCTTAACGTGTTCAAATTCTCAACAGCATTCATAAACTTATAGCCATTTATATTGTATCACTTTGTTGTTACATTTACAGTAGCTACAATCCATAATTGTTTTATTATCTTATGAGATATAAAGCAAATGATAAAACACAGTAGTATATATGAGATAAACTTGCAAAAACGTGGCACAATATATGCAGTTTTTTGAACCATTAAGTCTTCAGTTTGAGTGTGGCCCAGTACGACTCGCTCTCCTTCAAAAAACTGAAAAAGTCTCTGTGCACCTGAATGTGTCACAGGAGGAGAACTTGAATAAAAATGAGAAAAGTCCTGCATGCTGCTTCCCTGTTACTGCTGGAATATTCATTAAATTTCCAACGTTTGGGTCTGTTCAACCTTCATCAGGTATGTGGGCAAACATGACAACAGGCCCATATGAACACAAAGAAGCTGTCTCAGTTATCCAGTCAGAGGACCACAGACACTAGTTCAACTTGAGCAAACATGCGCAGACATTGCCATCCTGTTACTTACCTGGATGGTGTGGGATTTTTCTCATTTTTTTGTTTCTACTATATCTACTATATATATGTAATCTACTGTATAACAAAGGCTTAAAATACTGTTCAAGTGTTAATCAAAGAAAGAACAGTAACACCCCTTGTTCTGGCTTGTGTTCATACATTGTTCCAATGTGTTAGTCACACCAGCTAACAGCCTAAATCAAATTCTTTTGTTTTTCTTAAAGTGTTTGTAGCAGTTCGTTAGGAGTGAAACCAGATAGAAACAAGCAGTGTATAGCTCCTACAAAATGAGCTGAATCAATTGTATCAGTATTGGTGTTAGTGTTGGATTTTTATTTTGATGTACTGCCAGCAGTGGTGGACTCTCAGCCATTCTGCAAAGAGTTTGTTGACGTCTGTAGTTATGTTCACAACTTCACTCAGTACCGTCAGGGAGATGTCTGATCAGTCCCAAATCCCTTCTGCAGCATGACAACTAGTCCAAACATACTGCCAGAGGCATAAGGAACTATCTTCAGAGACAAGAAACCAAGAAGTCCTGCAACAGATGGGTTGGCCCCCACAGAGCCCTGATGTCAACATCCTGGAGTCAGTCTGGGATTACATGGAGAAATGGAAGACACTGAGACAGACTAAATCCACAGAAGAACTGTGGCAAATTGCTATTGCCATCACCATAGTAGACTATATATGATAAGCTTTTGTTTCTTTTTCAAATATTTTCTGTCTTTCTCTTAAGCTCTAAAAATGTGATGAATGATGCAACTAGTTAATTGTTAACTGAGATATAGATCATTAGATCATTGATGAGTATACGTGGTCAAACAGTGCATCAGTGGGACAAATCAATAGAAGACAGATGTTCATCACACACCACAAGAGGGCACTCAAACCACATGAGCTCCACCTGAACCTGCAATGAATTAAACACCGTTTCTTATCTTTAATCCCCTCTAATGTCACGCTATAATGGCGGTGGAGGTCATTACCCAGCTATGTCTGAATAGAGCAGACGCTCTGCAGCTATCGTCCACTGCAAACAATATTTCAAGGCTGCACTTGCGCGTCACTGCAGGCTCACTGAAAGTGGGGAGACAGCGGGGGGTCTGCAGTAACAACAGCAGCAGCAGCAGCAGCAGCAGCATACAGTGACAGAGCAGACAGCATGGCCGACTGACCTACAAACAGCAGAGAGAAGGAGCAGACTGTGACCTTCACTCTGTTGCACTGATCTGGAGACGGAAGTTTGATTACTCTTATTTTATTGCATCAGACTAAGATCTTTTTTATTACTTCAAATTATAGTTTATATTATTTTATAGTATAGCTTATATATTTTATTAGTTTTTTCTTTCTTCAATGGCTCTAAGTCAATAAATAAATCCACATATATTCCCTACATCATCTTAATTATAATTGCAAACGAAAAAGAACAAAAACAAAACTACATTATTCACTCCCAATAAAAGGATTTTCAGTGTTGATCATCTATTGATTTTTAGTTAAAATTATGGTCCTTGAAAATGCATTTTTAGAGGAGATGGACATTTTTAATCAGTGGGCTGATGATGGACGCTGCCTTGTCTGGCTGCTGGTTAGAGCTTCTTTTATTTCTTATTGTTTCTCACAGACGTCTCTCCCCCATTTTCTCCACGCTCTGCAAGCCCTGCAGCTCAATGTAGAAGGAAAGGAAATCAATAAAATCCATCAAGTCAAACCTGTCTGTTTGTACCACGCATCCTTGACACAGATTCTTGCACTAATACACTGGTATACAAACAGACTCACAGACATACAATGTCAACATGCACAGACACAAACACAGATTCAAAGACAAAGAGCATGAAACCCATGTGTATGCAGTTTTACACACACACCTCTATTGAATCACATCCTCTTCTGTCTCTGCTGCTCTTTCACTCCATTATTAATCCCACTTACCCACTCTCACTTCACTGCATATTCACACACTCACTGGCACACACACACGTTATGGATAGATGATGACCTCACAAAGAAAGCTTAGCCCAATTTTGAAGACTAGGCAAGGTAAAAGCCTCTGAGTCCAACAAGAGCTGTTCTCTTCAGATATAATGTCATTCAATCATCTATTTTGACCTCCTGAGTGTGCATGCATGCACATATACACACACATACACACACACACACACACGCACACAAACAGACTGCAGAAACAAAATGCTGCCAATTTCACCTTCCAGCAAAGATTGTAAATCATACTCTGATCATCCCCTCTCCTCCCAACCTCCATTTTCCTTTTTGTGAAGTCCCAAACCCCTGCATGGACTCCTGAACTCTGGACCCTCCTGAACCCCCTCCTGCCAGAGGCCTGTATGTGCAACAACAGCAGCAACCTGCCTCAGGGCTCAGATAAAGTCTGGCAGCCTATTCTGTCTACTAGTTCACAATAGAGTAAGGCTCTGTCTGTGTGTGCATGCCTCTATCCTCCTCTTTTGTCTGTATTTACTAGATTTCTTTACCTGCATCTAGTTTTTCTTCACTACAATCCATCCTGTGCATCTTTTCTTTTTGGTAAAGACAAGCCAGAATTCAAATAACAAGAACTTTTATTGTTGCACCTTTAAAGGAATAGTTCATCATTTTGGGAAATACTCTTATTCCCTGTCGGTAAATATACAGCCACACCCAGCAGTCAATTAGCTTAGCTTAGCATAAACACTTAAAACGGGGAAACAACTAGCCTGGCTCTGTCAAATGGCAACAAAATCTACCTAATCATCTTTTCTTTTTAACAACAAAGTGCTGTTTTAATCCAAACAATAACCAGAGTTTAAGCAAACATGATGTAACCTCAAGTGGGCTTTATTGAAGCTGGTATTTTACCTTTGAGCAGAACCAGGCAAACTGTTTCCCCATGTTTCCAGTCTTTATGCTAAGCTAAGCTAAGCTAACTTTCTCCTAACAGTTTCATATTTAGCATACAAATATGAGCTTACATCCAACTCTGCAAGAAAGTGAATAAGCGGATTTTGCAAAATGTCAAACTATTCCTTTAAACATAGAAAGCAATGTTGATCCATTTTCTGTCGATTTACTAATTGATTAAATTACTTGTGGTTGCTGTTTTAGTTATGTTGCAGTGCTACTGTCACATGTTGATGGTTCCTGATTTGAAAACCCAATAAAAAAGTAGTTTAAAAATGATCAAATTTATTGTATGTATTTTTTTTTTTACAAAATGCAATTTTGATTATTTTCTGCATTAATTTGAAAAACTGATTTGAAAGAAGAAAGAAAAAAAAAACTGAACGAGGTAATGGTAGTAAGAGAAGTTTGGTGGCTGACCTGGTAATAATAGTTTAAGTAGGTCACAGTTGAATGTATGTCACATATGTTATAGTCTATATGTAACATTAATGAGCGTCATGCAGCCCCCCCCCCCCCCCCGCCACGTGCACATACAGTACATCATACCAGGCGACCATAGGAGCAGGCAGAATTAGGTAGCCAACCATGCAAGGAATTACACACGCAGGAACTTCTGTCATGTAACACCCCCCCCCACCACACACACACACACACACACAGTAAACACATATGCTTGAGGGGTCTGCCTGGTAATGATGGTGAGCAGCTCCCAAGTGTAAATGACGGTGGAACTGTGTGAAAGTGGAGGAGGAGAAAATGTGGGCCAATCATTCTGCTCAACTGCTTTTATGCTGAAGAGTCTAAAAACATGCAGTCGTCTTCATACATACAGCCTGCACCTGCTGACTGCCTCCACCTTCCTTCATTTGTTTGTTTTCAATGTATCACCACTGCTGGATCATTCTCAGTCCTTTATGTGATGCCTTTCACTGTTCTGGCTTTTTCACTGTGCCTGTTTTCAATGCATCTCCAACTCACTGTTCAGACAAGACTGGCACGGTGTGTGTGCGCACACACAGTCGTGCCCAGGCAATTGTTGCCTGGCTACGGCATGTTAAAAATCACATAAACATCTCCCCAGAGGAAGGAATAAGTGCTTCTAATGGAAGCAGGGCTGCAGGGAAAGAGGATACAGTCCGGAGAGAGGCGAGAGGGTGAAGCAGGACAGAGACGGTGCATTATTGAGGATGTTTTGGAAACAGCCACCTGCATGTGGGGAGCAGCTCAAGGAACAAAATGACCACTGCTGATATATGGTACAGTTTTTCACTAGAGTCAAAGCATGACATACCATGAAGATACTGAATTTCATTACCCAGCCATAATGGCCACAAAAACAATCTGTTGAGACTGAAATGAGTGGTAGGACTGGACAGGAAAGACAAATAAAATCTGCACAGACTTACCGGTACAATCACATCATCATAAAAACTCCAGGCCAGCGCCCACCGCATGGTCCGTCCCTGGCAGAACTCTGTGTGCGTCACTTTAGGCACCTGAGCAAAAGGAAACAGACTCAGAAATGACCAGCACACTGACGATAGCACCATGCAGCAGACGATTTCACAAAGGAAAGTGTTTATTTCAGTATCTACAATGTTCATTGGTCAAAAATGTGATTACCCTCCTCCACCAGTAATTACATTTCAGTTTCTGACTGTGATTTTATTCTTGAGAAGATTTGCTGTTTCCTGGCACTCCAATGCAAATACCATGTATTATAAGGGTGCTTGAAGAAGGTGTACGGTCAGATAGCTTCAGAACCCCCTTCCCCCACAGCTTTCCAATGTCAGATTAGAGAGGGCTGTACTCAACCATTTCTGTAACTTTACGAATCAGACAATCCAACATTCATGCTCAATTCATGCAGCTTCATTGGCCAGCTGTGCAGTGGTGAGAAAGAAGCCACTAGTCTGTCATCAAGCAAACAGAAGTTTAAAATAAATCGGTTTTACCTCATTAATATGTAAATTTAAGCAACAGGACACACCAAACTCTAATCAGATCATCTAATCTATAGGGGGTACTTGCAGTGCAAGCATGAAGTTTCGTATCATTATTGAGTTATAGTCTTCATAAGATGTCCACAGAGTCAATTTATACATTCACGAAAACATGTTAATTATAGTGCTCCCACGAAATAAAACCACATAAAACTATATTCCATAATACTATCATTGAATATCTAACAGCTGGAGCCACTGAACTAGGCTGCGTTGAGTGAGGATTCAGTGATATGTACAGTATGTGTATTAAAATGTAAAACAGCTCTACATAACCAAGTCATTTTCATCAGTTTACTCTAAAGCTTGATCCTAGAAAGAAGTGAATCCTTGACATGTAACAACCTCTAAAGATGTGAAGCAGAGTTCACTAAAACATTTTCTCACTGCTAGCTTTGGTTCCATATATCTAATCGTGGGTGAGAAAATAAAGAGTATGGATCCATGATGTGAAAAAGACATGCATGTGGTGTGAAGACCCTTCTGCTAACAGGACACTTTAGCAGTCCCTGAGGACTGTGTCTTTAGTAAATGGGGGGGGGGGGGGGGGGGGTCGCTTAGATAAAGGTCAGGGGTCAAACAGCTCCATATCTGTGGGAAGGTTTTTATAAATTAAAAACACAAACATGAGGAGAGACTGAAGGGAAAATCAAGTAATGGATGATAAAGGCATTAGCATATTAACTAGGCCAGGTTTCTTTTTACACACACTTTAAAATGAGGCTACACACTCCTCCCTGGACATTAGCCAAGGCTGCACTCACTCTAATGAGCAACGGCAGCACCCTGAAACCCCTGGAGGAGGTCTGAGGGACGGCAGGTGCAGAGGGGAGTCTGGAGCCTCTCTTTTTTTTCGTCTTGAACATGTGAGAGAAATGACTGGCATAGGACCAGAGGCCTGCAGCAGTCAGGAGTCATGTGCTGGGCTATTAGTTAGGCTAATGATGCTAATGCATGTTAGCTACAGAGGGCCGCGTGATTAGGTCCTGCACTGCTGAAGGAAATCAGCTCATTCATGGCTTGTTTGTGACACTGCTTAGCTGGCATATCAGAAAGAGCTGATCTGTTATAGTTTTCTGGGTATCTGCACCTTCCCATCTGCTTCTGACATCAATACTCAATCCCAGAGGAGTGTTGGTTTGAGATGGGAGGCAAAGATTATTTTAACAAGCCATTATGAAACCCTGTACAAAGCAGCATGAACAAACTGAGACCAATGAGCTGTGGCTGCTGTGCGACACTCATTGAAAACAGTGGATACAGACGTGTTTGTGTGTGTTTGGCCTTTGTTCCGGGTCTCACTGGCTACTCACCCCTTGCTTCCTCAGCTCCTCTTTCAAAGGTGCCAGGCTGCATTTCTTCCCCAACATGCAGCTGTACCAGCTGCAGAAAGAAGGATCTATATTAAGCAGCTGTGTGTGACTGTGTTAGCGGCTGACAGCCTGGGCATGAGCTACCAAGTAGAGATCAAACGAGCCGAGGTGGGCTTAAGGGAGCAACACAAAGACAAAGTAAAACACATGAGCTGGAAAAACATCCGTGTGTTTACAGTCCACAGTGGAGGAAAAGATGTTTTGAAGTCGTCCCATGATGGAGACCTGATCAATAATCTCTGCTGTGCAATAAAGAGATGAGGTTGGTCTTGATCAATAAGCAGTAGAGTCCATCCGGGGAAGATTGAGGAACGATAAACACTTCAGGGAGTCAGTCTGGAAGAAAGACTGGTCAGTTTTCAGTGGATGCTAATTAAATCTAATCATCTGGTCTTTACTCAATGTCTACAGCTTGGAAAAAATGTTAAAAATATAAACAGTGATAAGTTAATATGTAAAGTGTGTGAATATCCATACAAAGCTGAGGGCATTAAGGTGCATCTTGTTTTGTCACCTTCACTTTTATGGGTACGTTTGATATATACTCACTTAAACAGCTCTCAACACTTTCCTCTCACTGTCCGCAAAGAAGCTCTGAGCTAAGCGAAATGTTGATTCACTCTTCTAAGTCACCTTCAAACGTCACAGCAACGTTTTTTTGAGCAGAAATAAGTAATTTGTGCTTTTCCTGGGTTTCGCCTCAGCCTTCATACTGTACAGGGAGGAGGTTGTGGAGATACTGCAGACAGTACGCAGGCCTGGAAAAAACACTTCCACCTTCTCTGCATGTTTTTTTGATTTTAATCAATTTGATTTTTATTTATCTTTTAAATTATCTTCCTATTACTGAGGTCATTTAAATGGTGAAATATTAGTCACTTAATCAATTTGTTGATCAACAGAAAATTAATCAGACAATTCTGATAGCTGTTTAATCATTCAAATAATCTGTGGAGCAAATATGTTAAATATTGTGTGCTTCCAGCTTCTCAGGTGTGAAGCTTTACTGCTTTTCTCTTTCATATCATTGTAAATTGAATATGTTGTGGATTTTAGACTCTGTGGCTCTGGTGCATTTTTCATGATACACCTTTTTCTGATATTTTATAGACCAAACACACTAAATCCATTAATCAAGAAAATAAACAACAGATTAATAAAAACAGAAATATTTGTCATTTGCAGCCCCTATCAAAGCTAAACACTGTTCTCTTTAGTAAAGATGAAAATAAAACAAAATCATGATCAAGAACATAATCATTGATTATCAGATCTCTATCAAGCAAACAAATTATGATTTTAAGTAAGGTTAGGACCTTAATAGTGCACTAATTTCTCTTCTTTTTTTTTTCCCTTAATACTACAATTATTATGGACATAGCCATGTGCCTAACTGTAATTATTACAAAGCTGCAGTCACACACAACTCAACAAAATTACCTCCTAAAAACCATTTAAACTCATGACTGGCAGTAAAAAAGGGCACTGATATGTAATCAGGTTTGGGAGGTTTGAAGATGCCCAGAGGGGTGAAGTGGTGGGGAGGGCAACACGTCAGCCTCAGTTGCCACAATGAAATATTGAACAGCTCTAATATTCACAGATGTTCCCCAGTTTTCGGCACAGTGGGTAGAAACACCCAGAAGAGCTCCCCGAATACCCTCCTCCACCAGACAGCTTTTTCAAACATCCCAAAGTGTGCAGCTGCCTTAACATCCATATTCAATCTTCTCTCTTCACATGTTTCTGAAGCACAGACATATGATTACAACCTTATTACCAGAGGTTGTAATTTTCATATCAATGGCATGATAAATGAGGAGTGTTCCCTTCTAACTGGGGTTTGGAGCATTTGTGTTGTACTGGGAAATGAGGTGGCTCTGCCCTACTGACAGTAATTACACTTCAGTGGAAAGAAAGGTGAAAGAGGAGCAAGGTGCAGCAGTGGAGCGTCTCAAAGGACCAATCGGAGAAGCTGGCAGTGTTTCCATGGACACCTGGTTGCTCTGGTGTCCCAGCATGCTTTTGGGAGTGACAGCCAGCTCCGGTTGGTTTGGCCTGAGCCTCAAACCTGTTAAATGAGACTGGATTCATTCTCACTTTCTCTCCTCACTACATGAGTGGAACAGAGCCACACAAGAGCAGGCAGCTGTTAACATCAGTCTCTCTCAGGGCCACTCATCTTTCCACTGAAGCACTATGCGCAAACACATAGCACTGAACACACACACACACACACACACACACACACACACACACACACACACACACACACACACACACGAGGCCAAGCAGGTGTGGCATGTCTAATCAGTTTTAATAGCAATACTCTGCAGCTCCCTCTACCCGTGTCTCACTCCGCTGCCCCGGTGACAGCCCTGGTAACGGGGGAGGGTAAAGTGATGGCTGCTGGAGACACCCCCATCCAACCACCAATCCACCCAAACACAGCTGTTCCCTGTGGGCTCCCGGATACAGCACAGGGTGAGTGTGTGCCAAAATCATTAAACCAACTGTAGATGACAGCTCCATCAATGTGCAGCAACCCATCTGCCCATTTCACCTCTTGGTGTCTCCCCTTCACTGGTGCTCTCAACGGCCATTTAAACCTCTCACAGCCTCTCCAGAAAGAGCAAAACTGCAGCACTCTTGTGCATCCATCTGCCAATTTAAATATTTAGCTCTGCAGTCCTGAACACAGTTTCTGTCTATGATTGGGCTTGATGAACCTGGTTTAGATTTGGTTACAACTAGCGAGAAAGATCATGTCTGAGTCAGGTTTAATTTTCAAGGTTAAAGTCCTGCTTTTTCTCCTCACCGCAGGCGTTTCTTGAGCTGCAGACTATCGTGAATGATCCTCTTGACAAACTCCAGTTCCCCACCCTCCGCCATGATCTCCGTCACCCCGCCTGTGTTCACTGAACTGGGAGGAGGTCGCCGTGAGTTCCTGGAGTTTACCCCCTGGAGAGAGCAACAAGACAGACAGAGATTAAGATAAAATCCTATTAGAAGCCTGTTACTATCATGTAAACAAACAGAGTTTCATACTGGAACTGCTCTGGTCAGTGAACAAGTGTGTGTTTACTCTACATGAGAGAAATATAGACGCTTAAAGAAGTCTAACCTTGTGAATTTAAATGTTCAAGATTCAGACAGAACAGCAGTAAATTATTTGCGGTGGAGGAACACTGACCTTTGCTTCTAGCTGGTTTGCAAAAAAAGGAGGGTTGCACATGCAGAAGTCGTATATGATCTCTGTCTCTTCCTTCAAGGCGTCCATCAGTAAAGTCTTCTGAGGAACTTTGACAACTAAAGTAAAGGAAAGTAAAAAAACAACTGAGATGAGGATTTGTAAGTTTGATGTTTTCGCTAGTCATCACAGTTCCTAAGAAAACAAAACTAAGACAAAAGGCCCATATAAATGTGGTGAAATCTTTGGTAGCCAATCCATAGCAGTGGTCCTAGATCGACTGGGTGAAATTTAGGACCAAAAACCCCACAATATGATGGCTTCCAGTGAGCCACATCTACAAACCAGCCAAAATGAAGCAGAAAACACTGGCTGATGCAACACAGGGCTGATGCCATCCACCTGTTTTTATGTGCATTTTCTTTTTAAAACAAAATCTTTTTAGTAAGTTTTGCAGGACATAACAAAAGTGTGGCTCTCTGTTCAGTCATTAAAGAACTGAGTGATGAATGAGTATATAATAACAGCAGCTGGCACCAGTGTCAACATATAAACAAAACATCAGTGAGAATAAAACAAAATATGTAAACTATATAAACTGTATGGATACCACTAGTATTTATGTCTATTTTCAATTTGAGCATTAAAACACCTGAGTGGAAAAGTTTTGACACTTGGCCAAGAAAAGTTGGTATATCGATAAAAGAAAAATGTAACATGGTGCAATGGAAGTGGATGGAAACACGCATTCATTCTTTTTTCCTTTGCAAATTTTCAAGAAATTTGGTTAAATGCTTTACATTTGGATGGAAGCCTAATTATTTTAGAAGCTATAGTTTCTCTGGTTTTGCAGCATTTCAAAACATGACAGCAGCACAGAGGAATGATGCGAGTTGACTGATGACTTGCATTTGCTTGCATATTTTCTACTCACACTTTAGCACTACAAAATTTACAAGCACAATCTTAAATATCTGAAAATTGATACAGTAGATTCTAAGACTGCAAATAACAATTTCTGCTTTATTATCAATTAATGTTTACAAATAATATGATCAATAAAAGTGTAAAAACACAAATCTTTTTTTCTTAAGCCCGAGAATGTTGGAATCAAATATCTTCTTTTGTCCGACCAAGAGTCCAAAACCTAAAGATTTTCAATTTACTATCACATAAGAAAAAGAAAAGCAAGAAATCCTTGTAATTTAGAAGCAGGATCCAAGGCATGTTTTGCACTTTTCGTTTGAAAAATGACTTCTAATCGATTGTCAAATCATTGTGTGCTGTTATTGCTCACTGTGTAGGGGCCTTAAAGCGAGACTATTCAACTTCTTAAAAAGGAAATAATCCCATCTTGTTCCCACAAATTAAAAGTTAAATTCATTAGCAATACCACACACTCAATTCAGTACAGAACAGTAGCTTGTGGAGACTAATGTTAGTTTACATATTTTTGAGACTACTGAGCCAATTCACTATCTGCATGACTCTTTTCTATTTCTTCTACTGTTACTCTACATTTTAGCATTTACAGTTACTGTAATTGTTACTTGTAGCCACAGTGGCTGCAGTTCAGCCAAAGCTACATAATCTCTCACTCTATTCTGATACACAGGTGTTTGAATGTAATGTCTTGAAATACCTTGTTCGTCAGGCTGAGAGGACCATATTTACCTTTAATGAGGTCAGACAGGTTGTTCTGCTCTACATTTTTTGTAGCATAGTCAAAACAGATGTCGTCCACCTCTGTGGCAAGGAAATACCAGCCATTCATTGTGGCTCCCAGCAAGGGGTAGATACAAGACGCCCCAGTGCCTGAGGAAACACAACACAAACACTTCTGGCAGCAAGACAATGATGCATAAATTTGTGATGATAAATGGTTATGACTGAGTGATCAGTGTAGAAATATTCTGGGGTGCTCTTTAAAGTAAATGATTGTATGAAGCCAAGGTTGTCCCAGAACGTGTGATGGTGTGTTCCTAAAGCATTATCTTTAACTTAGAGGCCATAATGGTCGACATATGTCAGGTCCAGCAGCTATTATTGAATCATTCACATCTAACAAGGACCAAAGCTGCATAATTCAGTCCAGGCTCAGACAGAGGTGGCATCCATTAGTGAAGGAAAACGCCCAGTGGTGATCCATCAGGGAGTAGACAGCTTCAATCTGCTTACGGAAAGATTGGACAGCTCTTTCTCTGACAGAACAGCAAACAAGCTGTGACATGTGGATTGGGATTTGGTTGGTTCATGCTGGGAACAATGGGAACACTGGGGGTGACTGGAACCATGTGTACCAGCTGGAAGCACCAACTGACATTTTGCATGTGGCTCTGAGCTGCTGGTAACCACATCAAGAATTAACAAGAACAGGGGTCTCCAATTCAAATTAACTCTGGGCCAACCACCTGAACTCAACATGTTTTCTAGATTTTCTTATTCTCTACACTGTCAAGCGTCAACTACATTCACCCCATAGCTGAGCAACTTGTCTTTTCCTCTCTTCTTGTATATGTATGTTTGTTCAAGTTTAGCTTCTACTTGAGATCATAATCCTGGAGAACGAAAACTTGGAGATGAGACATGCAGCGGTCAGATCAAACAAATCAAAACAACAAATAAATAGTGTATCTCTATTAAAACTGCCTGTGCTCTTTTAATCTTAGGTGAGGTGGTAAAACAGAGTGGTTTTTGCCACAGTGTTTAAAGGCGGCCTAGGTTTTAATAAGGAATAAGAAAACCTGGAGTAAAAAAGATGATTTCTTTGGTTCTGCTGGATCGATTTTTATCCTTTTTGTTAAGTGTCCTTTGTAAGTCAGACAATGTTATAGGACTGCAATGCTAAAATCGATGCCTTACTCTTATAAGTTGCATAGTAAGACACAGCTTGATAAAGGAAAATCTAATTGTTAGGATTAGATTTTGCAGCCTAGCTAAAAACAACAGACTAGGGAAAAATCTAAATGTGAATAAAGTTTGAGACCCCTGAGCTAGAGTACACACAAATTTGATTGTAAATTTTAACATTCAACACAAATTTTACATAAGAATAATATAAACATTAAATTATAGAGAAAACCACTGAGGTCAGGACCTAACAACTTAGGAAATCCTTAGGTTACATGAAAAGTAATGTCAGCCCAACTCATTTATAGCATCCTCACCACATGATAAAGTGATACCAATCTCACACACTATGACACATGTGCAGCAAATTACACCAACAGTAGTGGTAGTACCGATGTCGATGCCCCTGCGTAGCCGTTTCTGGCCGTCGATGAGGTCCTCCACCCAGTGTATGTAGTTGAGGCGCAGGGGGACGGTGGGTATGAGGCGTTCCAGAGGGATCTCAATGGTCAAACCAAAGTCCTCTTTCAGCAGGGTGCAGGTCAGCGCTCGTACCGCCTCCGGCTCTTTGAAATTCACACTAGAGGAGAAACAGACATGGCTGAATGAGTTCATGTTTGAAAAGCACACTATATTTTGGATCAGAAAAGTCCCACAGAAAATAGAAAATACTGTATATTACCTCTTACCTAAAGATTTATCTGATGGATAAAAGGAAAATTCAGGTTTATTGTAAAGAAGTTTCAGTCATTTTTTTTAACTGTTATGATAATATTGTGACTACCAAAAACCAACAGCAGTCAGACATCAGACAGGTTTTTTGGGGGGCATTTTAGCCTTTATAGGGACAGTCAAAGTGGAGAGAGGTAGGAAGGTTTTTGGGGAGAGGGGATGACAAGCAAAGGGCTGGGCCGCATTCACACCTGGACTGCTGAGGTTAGGACTCAGCCATGCTGGTATGCATTCTACCAGGTGAGATACTGTGGCATCCCCCGGGCTGACAGGTCTTATAACATGACAACAGTTTAGCCAGATTATTTAAACCACTTTATTTGGAGCCAAAACTGAAATCGAGGCCACTTGATATGTCAGAAATAATTCCAAATATGTGTGAACAATTATGACAAGTACGCAGGTCAAAGCTGAAAAAGGAAGACTGTCTGTAAACAGACAGGAAAGCAGAGCTGGGTATCAAACCTCATTACTTTTATGGTACGAACTGATGTGTATCCATACGACTGAGTATGGAAAACTGTTGCTTGATCAGACATTTTGCCAATTGCATATCACTTAATTTATATAAAATTAGTCATTTAATTAGTAACTTTGAAGAATTTCAGCTTCTTTCGTTAAAAAAAAGAAAATAAAAACCTTGTCACCAAGTAAGGTGGCATTATCAGAAAAAGGTTTAAAATTATATCAGCCATTCATGGAGATTTGACTGTTGAAACAAAATAAGTTTGGTTAACATTAACTTGAAGGTTTAAAAGGTTTTAAACCTGCATAATTGCCTGACTGCTCATGTTGCTAGCTGCTTCTGATCTCCTTGTCTTCTCCCATTAAAGATGTTGCCATATCTCAGCAGTGAACTGGGTGAATACAAAACAACATTATTACTGATAAAAAATGGTTGCTAAGAATGGTAGCTACAAAAATATGGCTGGAGTTATATGACTACCGAATTTCCATTTAAGGATGATTTCAATTTAGTTGCTGATCCTCAGCAATTTACCAAACTGCTCTCAGTACAGCACTTCATTAAGCTCTTCTCATCAAGCCTGCTGCAGCTCTCTGCAGTGAACCGCATTACTTCACATTACACACACACACCACACACAGTTGAAGGACAATTGGGAGATAAGCAGCCCATCAGTTCACAATCCCCTGCTTAATGACAATGAAATTCACATTTTGAACACTACTAAGACCTCCCACTTTTTATTCCCAATTCTCAGTCCCACTCTTTCGGCTCTGTCGTCTTTTCCTCTCAACGCGTTTAATGATTTCAGCTGTCATACAAGCAGGCATGAGTGTGACAGACAAAACGAGTGGGTGAGATAGGTATAATTAAAGCTTCTCTGAGCGCTTTCGCACCTCGGCAGATGCAATTAGACACATCCTGGTGACAGGAGCGTCTGGCACCTCACAAGTTTGGTGTGAGCATATTCCAGTGGTACTGCTGGTAGCGATGGCAGTACAACTCTGAGATCCAAAGCCGTCAGTCTCTGATTTTGTCAATTTTTTCGCTGTTTTTGTTTTTTTTCACAAAATCAATTATACATGAACAGCTGAAATATTTGACTCTCAGTATTCAGCTCCTCCTCAGTGATACTTCACACCAAGTGAATCCCAGTTATTTTTTCCCCTTCCTTCCAGGCCTGTGTAATAACCACAATGACTCCAGCTATTGAATTTAAGTGAGTGTTCAAACTGAAAACAAACAAAAAAAATAAATTCCTAAGGGCTGTGTTGTTTCAGGTACCAGTCAGATTTTACTCTGCAAAGTTATCATGGTGGTAATCATTCATCTTTTGCAACACTGATCTCAAGGTAACCAGTGGAAATAATATGTCCACTAGGACTGCCACTTTTTATTTGAAATCTGAACAATAATTCAAACATCAGAAAAAATTAAATATTCAAACTAATGCCCTGTGCAAATTAAAAATTTTGTCTATAAGCACAACAGGCATATTGCTGCTCTACTGACCGAAGCTAATCAAAAATGTAGGACGACACCAGCAAACAAAGCCATGCTAATTGAATACTGAAGCGCCTGAGAAGCGGTGTGTGGCTATAGTTTCAGGGCAAAACGCTGCATGTAGAAATTATGTGTTCGTTCGAATTTGACTTTTTTAAAGTGACAGCCCTGGTGTTCATATTAAGTGATCAGGAATGTGCACTTCCATGTATTTGGAGTAAACAGACGGGCTCCTTTCAAATTAACAAGGGGGCTATGGTTTTCAGAGCAGGGATAAGCAATGGACGTGTCATAGGAACTGAATACTGGACTCAAATATGGCTCCCACTAAGTTGAATGAAAATTGCTTACCTGCCAAAAAAGTTTTTGTCTTTAACGTTTATTTCTGCGTTGGCCAAAAGTATTTCCCCAATGGCCCAACCCATGCACACCTTCTCAGCCCAGAGCATTTACTTTGGGATGACTTTCAGTTTTCATTTGTTTCAGCTGGTGTGAAAGCTGTGAAAACACATGAAAAATTTGTCTGTTAGGGTGAATTACCAACCAGGCAAAACAGAAAACTGCTGATACTCGGAAGGTATCAGGTCAGTGCCAGAGGGCCCCAGGTTGTCTGTGTGACAATTACATTGTGGTAATTTGATTTATTACAATTCGTTTGGCAATATGCACCAGTAAAGCACAACATGAGAGGTGATAATGCAGAGGACCTAAGGCAGCTTCTGTATTTTTACTTTATCTTGAGGCCTGTTTTATCATGTGCCAAAATCCAGTTTTCATATCTTTAATTTTTGAGTCGATATCATGTCAGTCTCATCATCAGGCTTGTGTCCTGCTTCAAGTGTTTTAGCAATGTATATATTTTTTCCTTAGTGTGGAGTGAAAGGACTCTGGTTTGTGGTGCTGACCACTGTCTGCAACGTTCCCCGTTCACATCCAGCTGGGAACCTTTGTTGCATGTTATTGCGTTAATCTCTCTCCCCTCACTTCCTCTGCTCTGTTAAATGTTGACCGTTAAATGAAGGCATGAAATGCCGAAAAAATGTTTATAAAACACTTCTTAAGTAGGACTGAGTGCAAAACAGGGGACACACCTGCTTCGCTACCGAGTTGATTCTGGTCACTCAACACGGCATCTTCATTCAGGAGTGATAACAAAGACAAACGACCCTCCTGCAGCCAGTTGTGCAATGGATACAAATGAGAAGCAATTTACCTGTAGAGTCTGACATCAATCTTAACCATTTCTCTTCACCTAATGAACATATTAGGTTAATGGTCCAGTTTAATCAGTTGCTGAAGGAGTGTGATCTTTTGGAGAAAAACTAACACCTGGCCCCTCTGAGGACGTACAGCACGTTTACGAAAGACAAACCAGTGAAGAATCTGCACTTTAAAAATGGCCTAAGCTTCAAGGGAAGAATCGGGCTAATGAGACAGAAGTGATACATCAGCATAACGCTCGCACTTTCCCAAAATGAAAGCCTGCCTCTCTCATCTGTCCAGCTCTCAGATTTTCTGCCCTTTTTCATTTCTCCTCAGAGGCATCATTAGATAAGGATCAATATTCAGAGAGAGAGGCTGCTCAGGCCAGCCCTCTATTTTTAGCCCCTGATGAGTGTGTGTGTATGATAGTGCATGCGTGTGTGTGTGTGCATTGCAGACCGATCACTCCCATCAGCAGCACTGTGAATGTCTCCATGGCAACCCCACCTACTGAACAGATGAAGAGAGCACGCAAATCTGGCCACGCTGGAGCAATGGCTGATGCCAGACAGAACGTGAGAGTGCCCGCGATTTACGTCTCTGCTGCCACGTAGGTGCACCGCTGCGTGCTTTCGTCATTAATGCAGCCGACGGGATACAGTATGGGACAAATATGAATGAAAAAGTTGTGCTGAGACAGGACATAATGTGCTGTTACGATATCAGAAAGACTGGGGAAAAGAGGCAGGAATCAGCAGTCAGCCAGAGCTTAACTTGATTCCAGCTTGTGTTCAGGTAAAATAACTGCACCAGGTGTGAGGGAGCAGATAGAGGTGCACAGTGAGACTCTGCAGGCACAGAAAGAAAGACATTTAGGTGCTGAGAAGCAGAAAAGAAAAAAAGTCCTTGGTTCAGGTTCAGATGGATGAAGAGGACGACATCATTAAACCGGAGGGCAGTTTACTCCTGAGACAAACAGCTTGCTCTCACCTCCACATTACATGATCAGCATGAAAGCAAGCACGCACGCACACACACATGCGCACACAGACACACACACTCTTTCAATCTCTGTCCACAGTGAAGTGACCTTCAAGGTACATCTACCTCACTCTGAATGTGCTGGGAAAGATTTTGTGCTGATTAGCAGCAACTTCTTCTCTCATGTCAGGTGTTTTTCTTTTAAAACACTGAGTGAGACACATTTTCAGTCCTCACAAGAGCAGAAATGAGTGCATAACTTAAAACTCTACACCAATTTAAAGATAAACTGACTTTTAATATAGCTGAGCTCATTTTGTTGTTTTTTTTTTTGTTTTGCAACTCTGCAGAACCTGACGGCAGATGGTGTAAAAACAGTCATTAGGATCCCAGTAACAACCAGCAATCGTGGTTGAAATGTTTATTGTTAGAAATGTTTCAATCACAATTATTATTCTGATGATTTAAGGCAGGGGTCCCCAAACTACGGCCCGCGGGCCACATCCGGCCCGCCAAAGCAATTGGAGTGGCCCACTTAACGATCCCAGACAATCCCTCTAAACATCAACCAATTTTTATTAAATTGCATTTTCCTATCATAACATCATAACATATCCGTACTTAAAGGTTGGCATTCTAATTAAAATTGACCATAGTTATGAGCTATTTATAGTTAATAGTGGCTCATCTTCACC